CAATTTCCCGTTGTTAAAGTTGTTCTGTGTTTTGTCTTCCCCAATAAACTGAGTCCTTCAACAACCGAAGGGAAAGCATCTTATCTACCTTTGTTTTCATAGCATATTTAGCCAGGAGCCTAGCACAAACAGATATTTCTCCAAAAACATGGGGTTGGCGGGGATGGAAAGCAAGGGATTCCTCACACCTAAGCTGTAGATAGCTGTACCATTTAAATAGGAATATTAGGAGTCCAGGGAACTAGAAGCAGCTGCAAAGTACCAGCATCTGAGCCACTCACTACTATTCCAAACTTGTCTGTGAGCCTTGCATTGCCAGTGCTCTTCAAGTTTCAGCTTTTGAAATTGGCACAGCTTTATGAAGCTCCTTATTTATTTGCCTCCCTCAGTAAAAGAACCCAGACCCCTTTTTCCCATCCCTATCTGATATCAGTCCTGAATAATTCACAATAGCTTGAAAAGATAATATAGGAATGCTTTACAGGTTTGTTAATAGTAATATTTAACACATTTATGGGGTGCTTACTGGGCAAATATCTTTGCTTACATGTTTTTCATATATCACCTTGTCTAATACAACAGTCTGAAGTATACACCATATTTTTCCATGTATAAGATGCCCCCATGTATAAGATGCCCCCCACTTTTCCAACCCAAAATTAAGAAATCAATATTTTAAACATAAAACAGAACACACTTTTATTTAGTCATTACCACATGTAATGTTTACATACCAGTACTGTGATATTGTGCAGCATATCACTTTATTCAGCCTCTGTTGCATCACTGCTCTCTTCTTCATCACTATTAGTTCCAGTCATATCAAGTTTTTCAACTTTTATTATATCACTGCTGTCTTCTGAGTCACTGTCTATATATGTGAGATCATTCTCATAAACTGATGGCATTTTCTGAGCTAACTTTGTTCATGTTCTCATGGCCAAACCCTTCTCTTCTCATGAAAGTGAAGCACCATTTTGCCTTTCCTGTAAAAGCAACAGTGTTCATTTCGTTGCAAATATTCTTGCCTGACATTGAATAAGCTTGGTTGACACATATAAGCCACTCTGGCACTGCTCCATAACCCAAGTCTTAAGCCTCTGCTCCAAGTTTGCCCATTTTGCTGGTTTTCCTCTTAAGACCTTCTTCTTTTTTAGCAGCTTAAGGAATTGTTCTTCCTGTTTTCTCCACTGTCTGATCATACACTCAGTGGGAGGAGGTCCATATTGTCTCTCTGCAGCTCTGTGTCCATGCTCTTTTGCATAGCTGATTACATTCAGTTTGAATTTTGTAGAGTAAGACAATCGCTTACTGGTATTTATCTTTTCTTTTTTGACATCTTTATGGGCTCAGAACGCTCTGGTCCCTGTTGCATCTGTGCACTCTCCACCTCCACCTCCAATTACTGCATCAGCTGACGTCAATCACAATAAGGCTTGTGATTGGAGGAAGCCTGTTTGACAAAGTATGGGCAGTTACACACCTTCACGGCTCCCTCCTCTGCTGACTTCCGTGTATAAGACGCTCCTCAATTTTCAGTCTAACAATTTTAGGAAAAAATAGCGTCTTGTACACGGAAAAATATGTTACCATCATCCCAATTTAACAAATGGGGGGGGGGCAGAATGAAGTTCAGCGAGATGAATTAAACTTTCTCAAGGCCACACAACTAATTAAGGCAGCCAGAATTTGAATCCAGTGTAACTTTAGAGCCCATTCTCTTACCACCAATGAGTATTACCTGGCCATAACTGAAGCCCAAATAACAGCATATACTTTGAAATCACCTAGACATAAGTTCAAAAATCCATATCTGGTGGTGAATAACTTCACTTCTCTGATCTTTGGTTTCCCTATATCTAAAAATAGCAATACATATCTTAAAAAGGATTATTGCCTTCCTTAGTGCATTATATTTCTACACTTCTGTTCATGTGAGCTCTGAGATAATGGTTTCTGCAGAATAAGGCTTGGCATAAGAAGACAGATAAGCATCCTCTCTCTTCTGTATAACATGACCATAATTTCAACCAGTGCCTGCCCTCCAGGATCGCCAAGTGTTTTATGGCTATGATCGTATTTATTCTCTTATGAGAAGAGTGTATTTTGAGTATTTCATAGTTGTTAATTGCCCATAAATATACTATATTATAATAAAGATTAGAATCAACGATCTGTCTACTATACTAGACTTCTCTTTTGCTAATTCTTAAGTAGCATATGAAACTCTGGAGGTTGTTATTTATTCTATGAAATAATTGCCCCCAGGATTTCATAACATAGACCTGTTAGTGCCATTCAACAAAGAAAACTATAAACACAGCTGCTGTTTTGGTGTCGTTCGTGGTTTGGTTTTGTTTTTATTTGAACTTTTTGTGCAGGCAGGTCATCATTTAAAAGTAGTCATTTGGCATTACCCCTTGCATTCTTTAAATTTCTTGTATGTTTTAAAAATCTTAGCCTAAGTCACTTCTAAAATTATACACACAGATCCATCTGGTTTTTTACTAGTCAGTGAATTTTCTTTGAAAAATGTAAGAAACAGGAGAACTATAATTTAAATCCTATAACTTTAGTGGGTCTCTTAAATTTGAAGAAAAATATGTTAAATATTAAAAAATAATTGTATATTATTGATTGTCTTCCAATTTTTATATTTCCAGAGGCAGGGTAAGGCTTGAAATTTCTTCTATTTCTACTCAGCTCTTTATTATGTTAAAACTTTGACGCATACCATAAACACTTGTTTCTAACTAAGAACTAGTACAGTAGAAATGGCTACCCAAAGCCCAAAGTAGGCCTGTTGCTCTCTCTAGCCGCACTGAGGTGAAAGATGCATTGTCGGGAGCAAACCTAGATGCAGGGAGACCACTTAGGCCTTTGCAGTGGTCCTGACAAGAAATAGTAGTGGCCTGACCCAAGGTACTGAAAGTGATAGGGAAGGAGTGTAGACAGATCAGGAGATAGAATTAACGGAATTTGTTGATGGCTTGGATGTTGATAGGTATAACATAGAGGAGTCAGAGATAGATTTCTGGATTAGATGCAGCAGGTTCCTCACCTCTTACTGTGTTTGCTTAATACCTGCGTATCCTTAAAAAATTCAGTTTATATGTTACCTCCTGTGAAAGCCTCCCTACCCCAATTTCCATGGAGTCAAGTGACAACTATGAGCTTTTATAAGCATCTGGCATTCTCCATGAGAACATGTTTTTCTGTTTCATATCTGTGAATTTAATTACCCCACACCCAACATACACATAATCTTCCCACTCTTGACTTTGTCTTGTGAGGGGAAGAGTCATGTGTCTTGCTCATCGTTACATTCCCAGCACCTAACATGGTTCTGGGGACAGCACCAATACATATTTAGTGAATAAACCAAGTGTCATTTATAGCTATTGTCCCCAGTGCCTGTAGTAATCAAATATAGTAAATTATCTGGACCTTTGATTCATTTCTCCAGCTTTCATTTCTTTTTTATTTTCCTAATGTCTCTCACTTTGCCTTTTTTTTATACCTTCACAGTTTAGCTCGCTGAGTAAAATTAAAAAATAAACACAAACAACAAGAAATAAACTTGTGCTTTCTGGTTTTGACAGTATCTTCCAAAAGATCCCCTCAAGATTATGGACATCTAAAAAATTAGGGCTTCAAATCATAATGATAATTAATATTTTTAAAAATATTACAAGTGTTTGTCCTAGCTGGTTTGGCTTTGTGGCTAGAGTGTCAGCCTGTGGTTCGATTCCAGTCAAGGGCACATGCCTGGATTGCAGGCTCAATTCCCAGTGTCGCGTGTGGAGGAGGCAGCCAATCAATGATTCTCTCTCATGGTTGATGTTTCTATCTCTCTTTCCCTCTCCTTTCCTCTCTGAAATCAATAAAAATAAACAAACAAACAAACAAACAAATAAATAAATAAATATTACAAGTGCTTAACAAGATTAGAACATTGTACTGACAAAGAGAGTCAGTGGATCTCCTTTATGTGTAGATCATTTCAATCAGAGGTATTAGGACTAGGTTATTTGATGAAGTGGATGGATCATTGTCAATTGGTCACATCTCAAGGAAAATGCATTGATAGCACTTTATATTAGAGTGACCATATACCTAATATACTTTAAAAACATAATGGTCCAAGATATCACTTAGAAAATAATCAGTACACAAGAGGGAATTACAAAGATTGATTTAAGAAAGAAGAAAAGCCCTAACGGATTTGGCTCAGTGGATAGAGCGTCGGCCTGCGGACTCAAGGGTCCCAGGTTCGATTCTAGTCAAGGGCATTTACCTTGGCTGTGGGCACATCCCCAGTAGGGGGCGTGCAGGAGGCAGCTGATCAATGTTTCTCGTTTATCGATGTTTCTAACTCTCTATCCCTCTCCCTTCCTCTCTGTTAAAAATCAATAAAATATATTTTAAAAAAAAAAGAATGCCAAAGATTCTTAAGAAAGAAGAAAAGATTAAGCTATATAATTTCTCATTACCACAGGGCGGAGATTGGGGAGAAAAAGTAAAAGGTTTTACTTCTCTAAGCCTTTGCTTTACTCATCTTTAGAATGAGAGCAGTTGGCCCATGATAAAGGATCCTTTTTAGCCCAGATTCTGCTTAATAAAATAGAAGAGAATGGTAGCAGTGATAGGTGATGGAAATTTTGGGTTCAATTACAACTTAATTCATTCTTCCCATAGTCTCATTTCTGTCTTGATAAGACCTGATTGTTAAAAACTCATTCATATAAAATGTTTTTTATTAAATGAATTTACTAAATAAAATGAAATACAAGTGATTTTTTTCTAATTTCTGCTTTGCAATCGATTCTTTCAGCCTAATTTGGAGCAACAGTCTCCATCAAAATATTTAAGATAAATTATTATTACTTATCCTAATTAATTCAAACTATGGAAAATGAGTTTTTACACTTAATAATGCCATAAATCTATTCTTCTATAGTTGTTTCTCTTTTAACATATGTTTTCCTTCTTTGGTTTAGATTTCTGCTTTGGGACAGCCACACATCTAATTCCTTAAAGTAGTTTTATATGTAAAACTTATAAAGGATCGGAACAATGCCTCCAAGACCATCATCAGGTGAACTGTGGGGCATCCACTTGATGCCCCCAAGAATCCTAGTAGAATGTTTACTACCAAATGGAATGATAGTGACTTTAGAATGCCTCCGTGAGGCTACATTAGTAACTATAAAGCATGAACTATTTAAAGAAGCAAGAAAGTACCCTCTCCATCAACTTCTTCAAGATGAATCTTCTTACATTTTCGTAAGTGTTACCCAAGAAGCAGAAAGGGAAGAATTTTTTGATGAAACAAGACGGCTTTGTGATCTTCGGCTCTTTCAACCCTTTTTAAAAGTAATTGAGCCAGTAGGCAACCGTGAAGAAAAGATCCTCAATCGAGAAATTGGTATGAGAAAATTTTTGACTAAATGTCATTGTCATCCTATTCTAAATGCAAATAACTGTGCAACTTTATTTTCTCCTCACTGAAATATCTCTGTTTGAACCAGTTAATTACCTTTGTAATCTTAAATAGATTTTTAAATAAGAATCATTCCAAATCTAAAGTATTTTTTTACTATTGGATTAAGAAACTATTTTTAACACCTTGGTATTTTTTATAAAGTTTTCTTTAAGAAGTATGATTTGTATAATTGACTTAGATTTGTTATAGCCCAGTTTTGTTTTATTATTCTCTAAAAAATAATTGATATGGATAATGTTTGCTGCCTTTGCTCCAAGTTGCTAAATATGTTTATTAAAAATATTTGAGTCCTTGTCAACTCTTACTGTATGTGTTCATCAAAAACTTTTTAAACCCAGAGAAACTTCTTTATTCTATTGTGATCTTCCAAATCTATCAAGTTTTCTATTTATAAGAAACATGTTTATACTGTGTATTTAATAGAATATTATTTTCTTTCTATAATTTTTTAAGGCTTTGCTATCGGCATGCCAGTGTGTGAATTTGACATGGTTAAAGATCCAGAAGTACAAGACTTCCGAAGAAATATTTTGAATGTTTGTAAAGAAGCTGTGGATCTTAGGGATCTTAATTCACCTCACAGTAGAGCAATGTATGTTTATCCTCCAAATGTAGAATCTTCACCAGAATTGCCAAAACACATATATAATAAATTAGATAAAGGTAAGAAAATTTGCAATCTACCATAATTGGTTACTATAGTGAAAACTTCTATCATGTCTCTATTTTTAAAGTATTTTTTATCTCAATTAGATGATAAGCTTCTTGAAGTCAGATACTGCTTATACTGACAAGATATAGTTGAGTGCCAAGTATACAACTTGTGTACAAATAAATACTTATTAATTGAATGAATTGTGTGCATATGGTGCTGAGTCCTTGATGAATTGTTTATTCAGAATAAAACTAAAGAACTTTGAGTTTGACATTCCTTGCTGTAGAATTATAGCTGATTATCATTTCACATGTAAAAACAAGTATAAATAGACACACATTTTATGAAATTTTAGGAAAACTACATCATCTTGATATATATCATATATTCAAAAAAATTCTTAATCTTAATGTTAGATATACTAAATCTGATCATAATGAGATTGACTTTTGACATTTTATTTATTTTTTTTAAAATATATTTTATTGATTTTTTACAGAGAGGAAGGGAGAGAGATAGTCAGAAACATCGATGAGAGAGAAACATCGATCAGCTGCCTCCTGCACATCTCCTACTGGGGATGTGCCCGCAACCCAGGTACATGCCCTTGACCGGAATCGAACCTGGGACCTTTCAGTCCACAGGCCGACGCTCTATCCACTGAGCCAAACCAGTTCCAGCGACTTTTGACATTTTAATATATTGATTTCTAGATTTAAATAAACAAGAAAAAATATAAGCTATATATTTGTTGAAATGAAAATATATCAGATAAATATCTGTATTTTTCAAGATAACCAAGTGAAGTTTGTTTGTTTATTTTTGTTTTTAATCCTCACCTGTGAAACATGCTTATTGATTTTAGAGAGAGGAGAGGGGGGTTTGGGCGGGGGGGGGGGACATCTGACATCTGCCTCCGGTACACGCCCTGACCTGGGATGGAACCTGCAATCTTGGTATGTGCCCTGACCGGGAATTGAACCCCAACCTTTTGGTTCCAACCAACTGAGCCACACTGGCCAGGGCCAAAGTGAAGTTTTTAATTTAAAGTTATAGAATAGGTTAACTCGCACACACTAATAAATATAAAGTTCTGTTAGTAAAATAAGTTAAATCTTACTACTATTCTACCCATATTATTCAAAGTAGTTTAATGAAATATAACATTTTACTTATTTGAAATTCTTTTCTACTCTAGCATACTTTTTAAAATGGTACAAACACTCTTTTATTTTTAACCAATCTTTATGAAAAATTTCCAACATACAAGATAGTTGGAAAAAATTGTACTGTGAATACCCAGCCCATTCTGACAGTTTTAATCTTTCTAGTTTATCATCTTTTTTTTTAATCCCCTGGCTTAATTGATCTTAAAAGAAAACAAATTAAGAAAATGCATCTTATTTTCCCTCCTCCCCCATCTTTTCTCTCATTCTGATTTATCATCTTTCTTTAAGTCTCCATGATTTTTTCCCATAGTTACCAAAAACTCTGCCACTTCTGAACCTTTTGTATACCATCATGAGTCACTCTTCACAGAGGTTGTATCCATGAAGTATGCCATGCAGTTTAAAATGGATTTATATTGGTCTTAAATACTTGTGACCCATCAGTCAGTTTTGCATGCTTGCCATAAAACATGAGATTTGGACATAGCCTGGCAGCCTTATAATATCTGAAGATTTACCTGCATTTAATTAGTTAGATTATAAGTCATTAATGATTATGGTTAGAAGAATGGTAGTGCATGCTTTTTGAAATTTGTCTCTTGAAAATGAAGTATATATGGTGATTACATCTAATAATGTCTTCCTCTTATAGGGCAAATAATAGTGGTGATTTGGGTAATAGTTTCTCCAAATAATGACAAGCAGAAGTATACTCTGAAAATCAACCATGATTATGTGCCAGAACAAGTAATTGCTGAAGCAATCAGGAAAAAAACTCGAAGTATGTTGCTATCATCTGAACAACTAAAACTTTGTGTTCTAGAATATCAGGGCAAATATATTTTAAAAGTGTGTGGATGTGATGAATACTTCCTAGAAAAATATCCTCTGAGTCAATATAAGGTGAGTAACAAGTTTCAAAAATATTAATTTTAAATTTAAAAAGTAATCACATTGGGGACTATTGTCTGCATTTTTAGAACATACATTTTGAGAAATTAATATTATTAAGTAATATTCACTAGTTTATTTTTATGCAATAATTATTTAATTAGATTGATGATGAATTTAATTTGAAAAAAACATGCTATTTCTTTAAATTTTATGTAATAGTATTTGGGGATCTGACTATGTATGTGGATAAGCTGATTAATGGTTTTGCAATTGTAACAATAGTTATATCATTATTCAGATACAAACATTTGATTTGGTGACTGTTTAATTGTGCTATAAGGTAAGTACAATGTTTCAGGTATTCTGCATGCAAAAAAAATGCATCATATGCTTTTCTAAACAGCTCCAGTTCTATAGTGGAAATACTTTTATTAGCCAATAAGAATTTTAAATACCATGAAACTTGCACAGAAGGCTTTTCATATGCCTTTTTTTAAAAAAATATATTTTATTGATTTTTTACAGAGAGGGGTAGAAAGTTAGAAACATCAATGAGAGAGAAACATCTATCAGCTGCCTCCTGCACACCCCCTACTGGGGATGTGCCTACAACCAAGGTACATGCCCTTGACCGGAATCGAACCTGGGACCCTTGAGTCTGCAGGCCGACGCTCTATCCACTGAGCCAAACCGGTTAAGGCTGCCTTTTTTTTTTTTTTTAAGGGTTTATTGTATTCATTTGAATGTGCAAGAAAGCAATTACATAAATGTCCCCTTGTTAAAAAAAGACAAACATAAAAACATTGTCAGTTACACTGACCCCAAAATACGGCGTATTTTATCTCCTTCCAAGCAATGGCACTAGCAGTAATTAAACATTTCAAAAAAAATCTATTACTTACTGTGAAGATATACTATTAATATTACCCTACTCTCTATTCTGTTTATTTAATAAATACATATAAGAAGCAACTATACTTGTACCAAGTGTATGCTAAGTACTGATTTATAATACCAAGCAAGACATTGTTCTGGTCTTCAGGTTGCTTACAGTCTAGTGGATTTATGGGTAAGAAAATAGGCTATTATAATATGTACATAGTAGCATTTTTTTTTTTTTTTTTAGCAAATTGGAAGTATCATGTCTTTTTTTAAAATATGTTTTTTATTGATTTCAGAGAGGAAGGGAGAGAGAGAAACATCAATGATGAGAGAGAATCACTGATTGGCTGCCGCCTGCAAGCCCCCTACTGGGGATTGAGCCTGCAACCCAGGCATGTGTCCTTGACTGGAATTGAACCTGGGACCCTTTGGTCCACAAGCTGACGCTGTATCCACTGAGCCAAACCAGCTAGGGCAGTAGCATTTCTATTTGAAATTTCTATTCTAACTACCACTTCATAGATCAAACAATGTGTTTTAATATATTTTTAAATACATCCTATATTTTTATCAGTCTCCTCTTATTTTCGTTTTGTTTCACTTTTTAGCAAAACAAATGTTTCTCAAGGAATTTTGCAACAAAAGAGCAAGGGGGCAGTAACCCTTGGATTGGACATCAATATGACTTAATATATAGAATGATAGAAGCTTACTAAATGATGTTGCTTTTCCTTTTACAAGTGCGGTGTTTTCATAATGAGTATCCTCTGATCCTTGTTTGTAATTTTTTTTTTTCTTACAGTTAAGGGTAGAACTAAAGTGTCAAAAACCGACCTCTTTTTTTTTTTCTTTTATACAGTTTATATTCCAATAGGGGCTTGGTTGATGTTGTGCTATAACCTAACTCCCAGATATGTATTTTATTTTATTTTTTTTTTAAATATATTTTATTGATTCTTCACAGAGAGGAAGGGAGAGGGATAGAGAGTTAGAAACATCGATGAGAGAGAAACATCCATCAGCTGCCTTCTGCACACCCCCAACTGGGGATGTGCCCACAACCAAGGTACATGCCCTTGACCAGAATCGAACCTGGGACCCTTCAGATCGCAGGCCGACGCTCCATCCACTGAGCCAAACTGGTTAGGGCCCAGATATGTATTTTAAATGTTAAATGAAGCAACTGCTAAGAAATGTGGTCTAAAATGTTTGATTTCATTATCACCTTTGCAGATTAGTATGTAAATTCTCTCATAATACTCTTACATGGTGCTTTTAAAGTGAAAAACCTTATTTAAAAAATGGCTTCTCCCATCTCCCTTAATCTTTTATAGTATATAAGAAGCTGTATAATGCTTGGGAGGATGCCCAATTTGATGCTCATGGCTAAGGAAAGCCTTTACTCGCAACTGCCAATGGACTGTTTTACAATGCCATCTTATTCCAGACGCATCTCCACAGCTACACCATATATGAATGGAGAAACCTCTACAAAATCCCTTTGGGGTATAAATAGTGCACTCAGAATAAAAATTCTTTGTGCAACCTATGTAAATGTAAATATTCGAGACATTGACAAGGTAAAGTCGTGTTGTTGCTTATTATTTTATATAAATTACTAGAGACCCGGTGCACAAAATTTGTGCATGGGTGTGTGTGTGTGTGTGTGTGTGTGTGTGTGTGTGTGTGTGTCCCTCAGTTAGCCTTCACCCTCTCCAATCTGGGACATCCCTCTCACAATACAAGACTGCTGGCTCCCAACCGCTTGCCTGCCTGCCTGCCTGATTGCCCCTAACCGCTTCTGTCTGCCAGCCTGATCACCCCCTAACCATTCCCCTGCCAACCTGATCAACACCTAACTGCTCCCCTGCAGGCCCGATTGCCCCTAACTGCCCTCCTCTGCCGGCCTGGTTGCCCCCAACCGCCCTCTCCTGCAGGCCCAGTCACCCTTAACTGCCCTCCCCTGCTTCCCTGATAGCCCCAACTGCCCTCCCCTGCAGGCCTGGTCTCCCCCAATTGCCCTCCCCTGCCAGCCTGATCACCCCCAACTGCCTTGCCTTGAAGGCCTGGTCCCTCCCAACTGCCCTCCCCTGCTGGCCTGATTGCCCCAACTGCCCTCCCTGCAGGCCTGGTCCCTCCCAACTCCCTTCCCCTGCTGGCCATCTTGTGGTGGCCATCTTTGACCACATGGGGGCGGCCATCTTGTGTGTTGGAGTGATGGTTAATTTGCATAATACCTCTTTATTATATAGGATTTTATATAAACTTTTTTATTGAACTAATGAGCTATTGAGCTGGAATATGTTTTCAGGTGGCTAGCAAACCACCCATCTACCTCTGCTATTACACAGCTTATGGTCCTTTGTCTATCATTCTAATATCCCTAATTCTAATATCCTAATGGTTCTAATGTTCACAATTCTAAGCTCTTAAAACCAAAAGTTTTACAGAATATATTTGGCATCAAAACCTGGCCCAACTTGAACCAAGGTTTTTTTGTATCTTTCTTTATCCCACTACTATAAATATTCATGTGTTTTGTTGCAGAAATATTAATATATTTATGGGTGTTCTAACTTCAGATAGTATTGAATAATGTTTAGTATATGTACCAATTTATCTTTCTAAAATATGAAGAACGCTGAATTCCATACCTTTCCTAAAGGTGGGCCTATATTGATTTTTATTAGTCTGATGTTCCCCTGAAACAGCAACAAATTTTAGTGAAGAGCCTGCATCAATATTAACTTCTTATATATGTGAGAAAAGGAGAACTGAAAAGATACATCTGAACAGAGACTTCTAAAGGAACCCATAACCTTGGCATATCAGGGCAACACTCTGCTAACTGAACTACCTGGCCAGGGGGAAACAGTTATTCTTGTGTTATTATTTACTAATTATTGTAGTATTTTCCATAAAAACAAATGTAAACTTACTTTTGTCCCCTTATGTGTACATGTGTGTTTGTATTATATATGTATGTTTGTATATATTTGTATACACATACTTTTTTTTTTTTTTTTTTAGATTTATGTTCGAACAGGTATCTACCATGGAGGAGAACCCTTATGTGATAATGTGAACACTCAAAGAGTACCTTGTTCCAATCCTAGGTAAGGAAGTATATGGACTTCTATCTTCATAAGTCATATTAGTGTTCAGCAATGTAATAAAAGTAATACAATTTCCATCATTGGCTTTATACAAGTCAAGGAAATTGCCACACATTTACATATAGAACATAAGGACTTTCAAATCACAGAATCACTTTATTGATTTTCTGTAAAATTTTATCTGTAGGGTTTTTCTGATTCTCTTTCTATTGTATCAAGGAGAGAACAAAATATGGTTACAGTTTGGTACTGATGATTCATAAACCTAGCATTTTATTCTTTTCTTATCTCTATTATCATTTACACTTGATTCTAAGAGAATCAAGAAAAAATTTTGATCTTGTAATTAAGTTGCTAGAGGTGACCACCATTCTAGAGTTTGGATCAAGTTCAAAGAGATGGTAATTTTTTCTGCCTGGAGAAAGGGAAATAGTTCCTCACCCTACCGGAACCATTAGGTCAGAAAGTACGTCATTCATGTTAGAACTTATGCTGTGACAACAAACAACCCCAAGATCTTTTACAATCTTTATTAGAACAACAAAATTTATTTCCCAGTCATACTGCATCACTGTCAGAGGTTGAGTGATTTGGTTGTGAAAGGAACAGCAGAACAATATTTTGAGTAAAGAATGGCCAAGAATTTTCCAAATTCGATAAAAACTGTAAAACCAACAATCTAAGGAGTTCAACGAGCCACAAGCAAAAACCCCAAAATAATATGGGGTATATTTATTCTAGTTGTTTCAAAACCAAAAAATAAACTAGCTTTATAAAAGTAAAAGGTAAATGTATTTAACAATCTAAGATTATATTGTCAAAATTTTAGTGAACTAAAGTTATTTGAAAAGTACTTATATTTGGTTATCTTTTCTTTAAGAATTCTCTAGTCTAAAAGATAAAATCCCTCCGGTAGTAGTATGAATATTTTAGTAAATTTGTAAACTTTTCTGTATTTACAAAAAAAATTAGAGATAAAAGAAAATGAAGTTATTAGAATGAAAAGTAGATACTAAAAATTTCTTCTGAAATTGATTGTTCCAAATACTGTACTTCCCATATACTAGATAAATTACCATATGATTTCTTCATAAATGTTACGTTCTCTCCCAAAATCAGAATCAGTTTGGACTATTTATATATATATATATATATATATATATAACTATTGCCTAATAATAAAGAACTTAATTGTTCTCTGTGTGTGGACTTGAGAAGAAACATGCTTTATTTGCATAGTATTATAAACAACAACATTTATAGGATATAGCTCTCTTAGAAAGTATATAGACTATTTCCCATTAACTCTGAGCAAGTCTAGAGATTGAGAAGTAATAAATAAAAAACACTAGGTACATTTACTGTGAACTTATCAAATTCCACAATATTTCTTCTCTCCATAAGCATTGTTTCTTTATCCTTTAGAATTCCTTCTTGCTAAGTTCCCCCATTTTAAACATACCTACTCTATATAAGTGGATCATATTTTTTTAATCTTTATCCATAATCAAGCAAAGAGTACAAGAACTTATTTTACTAATAAAGTTTTATATCTTAGTTTGGCTAATTAAAAATTTTATACCATTTTGTTGTTAATTAAGTCTTGTTTTATTTGTGACCAAAAACAGAATAGAATTTTGAAGAAGCCATTTAAAAAGTTTTCAAAATCATTATCTAGCACTTGAGCTTTTACCTTGGACCAATTACTCTTCTAATTTATTTACTTTTGTTATCTCATTTAATCTTCACAACAACTTTATGAGAGTAGACACTATTATTAGTCACATTTCCATGACAAGAAAACAAAGTGAGGGTTGCACATGTAATAAAATAGTAAAAACAAGATTCTACTCTAGGTAGTGTGACTTCTGAGTTCATACTCTTAACCGTTACTATAATCTTTTTTAAAGAAATAACAACTATGTATTTTGCTTGGCTCTTTACAGATGTCCACCAAATAAAATATAGACATTATTTCACATGTAATATCTAATAAATTGAAGGGAATTTATTATTAAGATTTGAGAAAAAATTATCACTTTTTATAGTAACTTTTTATTCTTATTATGAATGTCAAGTTTTACTTGCGAAATAGTTCTAAAATTCAAATACTTTCTGTTAACATATCCTTCATTTTATTTAATACTGACTTATTTAAGTGAATAAAACTGCATCATCTATAAAAGTAATTAAATATCATTGTAATCATAATAGGAAATTTCATTTTACTTAGTTTCCCTTTTCTATTTGCCTCTTTATAAGCTAATTTGGGGAGGAGGGTGTGAAAGTATATAGCATAAATAGACAAAAGTATACATTGCAGAGTTTAGTGAGTTATCACAAAATGAATATTTATATAAGCACTACACTGGTCAAGAAATAGAACATTTAACAGTATTCTAAAAGTCCCCCCCTCCTCATCCCCTCTCCCAGACCATTTGTCTTCTCTCCTCTCTAAAGGTAGCTACTATCCTTCTAAAATTATTGTTTAATTTGGGCGTTTTGAATTTTATTTAAATGGACTCATGGAGTAGGTATTCTTTTGTGTCTTTTTGCACTTAATATTATGTTTTTAAGATTTCATCCATGATGTAAATAGCTGGTGTTCATTTCCATTACTGTGTACTCCATTATATGAATATACTGCAATTTATCTAGTCTATTAGACATTAAGATTGTTTGCAGTTTGGGAATATTGTAAATAATTCTGTTAACATTCTAGGCACAAATGCATGCATTTCTTTGATTTTATACCTTGAGGTGGAGCTGTCATAGGTCAGTTTTAGTACATTATGCTTTCCAAATTGGTTGTATAAATTACACCTCCACTAGCAGAATATGAGATTTCCTGAAACTACACATTTTATAACCACTCGTTGGTATCATTAATCCTTATAGTTTTAGCTAATCTCTTGTATAGTGATAGTTCCATGGCATTTTATTTTGCATTTTTTGGATGACAAATGATATGGACTACTTTTTCATGTTTATTGGCCATTTGGATAAATGTCTGTTCCATTCGATCTCTGGCCTGTTTTCCACTTTATTTATTTTTTTCTTTATGATTTGTAGGAGTCATTCATATGCTCTGGATAAATGCCTTTTGGGGGGAATAAATTCTTTTTTTTTTAATTTTACATAGGTGGAATGAATGGCTGAATTATGACATATACATTCCTGATCTTCCTCGTGCTGCTCGGCTTTGCCTTTCCATTTGTTCTGTTAAAGGTCGAAAAGGTGCTAAAGAGGTAAATTATATTCACCTTTAGAAACTCCAAATTATACTGCATATTGAATTTTTATCAAGAAATGGATATTATTTTTATCTAAAATAAATAATTTAAAAAATTTTAATTAATAAATGTATCATAGAAAAATATCTTGTGAAAGTTTTTAAAATTTATTTATAAATAGTGAGTTTGTCCTGGTCATACCGGTACAGTTTTCGAATATGCCAAGTGACTACACACAAATATCTGTTAAGTGACTACATACAAATATCTGTCTTGCTTGCTTTGGTTTATATTTCCTAATAATAATAATAATAATTAGAGAAAATACATGTTATTTCAAATGGGAAAAAGAAAAGCGAGATATTTATACTTTGTAAAAATCAATATAGTTTATTGTAGACATTGTTATGGAGATAGTTGTTGAATTCTCCTTTCTGGGGAAGAAAAGAGTTTTGAAACAGGTTTAATAATTTAACCCAAAGAGTAGTGAATATTTTTCGGTTTGTTTGTGTGTTTTAAGGAACACTGTCCATTGGCGTGGGGAAATATAAACTTGTTTGATTATACAGATACTCTAGTATCTGGAAAAATGGCTTTGAATCTTTGGCCAGTACCTCATGGATTAGAAGATTTGCTGAATCCTATTGGTGTTACTGGGTCAAATCCAAATAAAGTAAGCTTTCTTATTATAAATTAGAATTTTTTTCTTTTTTTATAACAAACACAATATATATGTAATAACTTTTATTCTATTTCTTAGGAAACCCCATGCTTAGAGATGGAGTTTGACTGGTTCAGCAGCAGTGTGGTAAAGTTTCCAGATATGTCAGTGATTGAAGAGCATGCCAACTGGTCTGTGTCCCGAGAAGCAGGATTTAGTTATTCCCATGCAGGACTGGTAAGACAAATCACTAAGTTTTCTTAAGTATCAGCCATAATCAGTGGATTTGGGTACATACTCTTTATACAGAAGGGGTTTCATATGTTTTAGTTACCCTGGCATAGCTACTATAGGTGCTTGGACAGTATTGCAATATAATAAAATTCTCTATATGCTAATATTTTTACTGCAGCCCTACCTCGCCTTACTTTTCAGAGCTCTAGCCTGCCTTCATTTAACAAATACTTATTGAATGCCATTAATGTATGACATGTACCAGGCAATAACGTTGTAACCTAAAGAGACCTCCACTGAGTATGTAGTCTAATGGTGAAAATAGATATTAAGCAGGTAAAAGCAAAAATATAAGATTATAGATTATGATAAGTGCCAAGAAGGAAAAAGCAATAGTGTGCCAAGAATGGCTAACAGAGGGATGGGAGAGAAAGGCTAATATTGGGTTCAGAGAAGACTTGTTTGAAATAGTAACCTTGAAGTTGAGCCAAAGTATAAATATATTGTTAGGTGAGCATGGAAGCAGAGGACATTGCTTCACCACCATAGCTCAATCCCCTAGAAAAGCATATATATAAAATAGGATTTAAATATTGATCTAGTTGTCTGATCTTGGCCGTAAATTTGGAACTACAAAATAATGGTGTAGGAACCGTTAACTCTTCCTTATTTCTCAAGGACAAAGGTGTCAGTGCTAAGAGAAGATGTTTTTGTTCTTTGTTAACTTTTTTTTCTAATTTTTAAATTTATCACTTTTGTTTTGACCTAGTTATAGGTCATAGATAGACCAACCAATCGAATATGGACCAAGAGGTCCTGAAATATGCCTATCATATTTTCCATATTCCTGGTGCAATAACAGCAGCACCCAGGGCAGCCAGCAATCCCACATTTAGGAACTTTCAATAGGGAGTTTACCAGTCCCTTTTGTAAACTGAAGAAGAATAATAATAACCTTTACCCTTTCTGCCTATGCACTTTCAAAGATATAGAAAGGCTATTTTAAGTACAAATAAATTTAAAATCATTACTGAATTTTGTCAGATACTGAAAGTACAATTAAAATTAACTTTTTTGACATTAAAAAGAGATTCTCTTTCTTGAAGTATGTAGCCACTATTATATAAGTTTAATTCCTTTATGATAACTGCCCTGACTAGGTAGCTCAGTTAGTTAAAGCATCGTCCTGACAAGCCAAATTTGCAGGTTCGATTCCCAGTCAGGTCACCTGCAAGAAGCAACCAATGAATGCTTAAATAAGTGGAACAACAAATTGCTGTTTCTTTCTTTCTCTTGCTCTCTCTCTCCCCCCTCCCACCTCATCTGTCTCCCTCTCTTCCTTCCTCTCATTAAATCAATGAATTAGAAAAATAATTCCTTGATGGTGATTATTAATATTTATCGAGTGCTTACTGTGTACCCAATGCCATACCAATCACTTTTCATATATTATCTCATTTCATCTTAAAAGCAATCTCTGTAAAGTAGGTACTATTATAATCCTTATTTCACCAGTAAAGAAACAGGCATAAGGAGTCTAAATAACTTATCTAATGATCGCCCCAATTGGGGCGGGCTGGCCAGACCCCACCTGTGCACAAATTCCTGCATCGGGCCTCTAGTTCTGTTATAAATGAGGAGGAATTCCTTAAATTTTAAGTTAGGGTTGAAATACTGGTAAGAATTCTCATGACATGTCCATATCCCTATCCAATTAGTTATACCTGTAACTGGAAAGAAAAAGGTGATATAGAAATTTAAAAATTCCTTGGATCCATTATTCTGATTGGTATCTGTAAGTGTAAAAATAGAAATGTTTTACAAATATGAAGCAAAGAAGATGGCCATTCTCTCTAACAAAATTATGAGGCATCAAAGTTTTCAAAAATGCTGCATTTTGACATGTGAGTAAGAGAAGAACCAGAAGTAATGATAAGCTAGAACTTATTAGATATGTATTTAAAATCTGGACTTAGTATTTACAAGATGAATATGTCCAGGCTCATGCATGGCAGTTGATAAGCAAGTAGTTAGTTGCATTCAAGGGATGTTGCTTATTTTGAATAATAACCTTGGTTTTATTATATTTAAATTATTATCCAGGTTGTCATATAATTGTTTTTCACCATCACTTATTCTTCTCTAAGTTATTCTGTATTAAAAATATAAACAAATAAAAATAAGTAAATAATGCAAAAGGCCCTGGCCGGCTTGGCTCAGTGGATAGAGCGTCAGCCTGTGGACTGAAGGGTACCCAGTTCGATTCCGGCCAAGGGCACATGCCTGGGTTGCAGGCTTAATCCCCAGTAGGGGGCCAGCAGGAGGCAGCCAATCAATGACTCTCCCTCACCATTGATGTTTCTATCTCTCTCTCCTTCTCCCTTCCTCTCTGAAATCAATAAAGAAATATATTAAAAAAATAATAATAATGCAAAAGAATTAAAAGTCCATGGACCCAGATGGTAAGTGGTAATGACTACTTTTCCTGGTGAATTGAGAGTAAAGCATTTTTTATCTCTTACCCAAACTATTATTCCAGTAGCCTCCTGACTGGCCTCCCTCCCCCTGCAGAGGACCCAGAATGATCTTTATTAAACATAAATCAAATCATGATATTCATTGTTTAACTAACTTCCACTGCAAATAAAATCCAAACCTTTTACCCTGACCTGCAAATTTCTCACTCCTCTCCCTCACCTACTGGGCTTCAGGTTCACTGGCCTTCTTCCTGTGCCTCCTTCACACCGAGCTCATTCTTTCCCTGAGGCACTTTCCTTGTTCCTCCATCTGCAGTAGTCTTTTCCTGGTCTTAGTGTGGATGGTTCTTTCTTGTCACTTGGATTACAATGAAATATTACGTTTTCATGCCTTCTCAGAGGCAATTTCTGAGCACCCAGTCTAAAGTAGTTACTCAGTCACTCTCTGTTACATCACCCAGAGTATTTAAATCAACTTTCCAATATTTTTCTTATTTGTTCATTTAATTTTCCACTGTAGCAATGGCCCTGTTAATAATACAGGTTCTTTTATAATTTTATGACCCCAAACAGTAAGAATAAGACAAGGCACACAGTCCATGCTTTAATAAATATTTGTTGAGTAAATATGTGCTAGTAATATTTCTTGATGCTGTTAGATAAATCAACAATGTTTAAATGTATAAAAACTTAGTAGCATGGATGTTTACTTTCATTTTAGCCATTAGGAATATGTGTAACCCTTTCTAAAGGATATATAATTGGTTTTTTATAATACATTAATGTGAATTCATAATTATTTATTACATAGTTAATATATCTACATTTAAAGAAAAAAATACATTACTTGGAATTGTACCAAAAGTTGTGGTGTTTTTGGTTTCCAAACACGCAATGTGCATGGTTTTAATGGGTATATTGCTTCTACTTTTTTCCCTTATTTATTTTTACTTTTTAAATTTGAAAGCCTAAAAGTGACTATTAGGATGTATCCAAGCAACCATTATGAAAGCATTTACATTTTAATTTTATTATATTACTATTTCATATTCTCTTATTCCAGAAACATTATAACTTATTCACTACTAACTCCTAGTATCCAGTTTCTTACCCCTGACTAACTTTAGCAGTTACTGTTCTGTGGTTGGTGGTAATGTTAACCAAATAAGTTACTGGAAGAAGAAAAAAAAGTTACTGGATTTGTTCCACAAATACTGTCTTGAGCTGATTCTTCCCTATTCATGAAAATAAAGTCTTATCATGGGAATAGTAAACTGTTTCACAGCAGTTAATAAGCAATATAAAATGTACTGACAGTTTTCTGTCTTTTTTTATGTGGATCACTCATGAAAAATATAGCAGAGAAAATCATATAAGATATTACTTTATTTTACAGAGTAACAGACTAGCTAGAGACAACGAATTAAGGGAAAATGATAAAGAACAGCTCCGAGCAATTTGTACCCGAGATCCTCTCTCTGAAATCACTGAGCAGGAGAAAGATTTTCTTTGGAGCCACAGGTAAGTGTTAAGATGAAGAGTCTCCATTTCTTATGTTACAGAAGAAAATAAAGAATTGCCTTTGGCTGATCTTGCCTTTTTTCCTACCATACCTATTAAATTAAATAAAGCATAATACACATGACTTTTTATACAAACATCTTTTTTAAAGTTGTAGATATAGAGCAATATTTCTAGAGAGAATCATGCTGCATTGGTATTAACTTTGGACATTGAATGCTTTTGTAAAAATTCTCTAAGTTGATAGCACCTTTTTTAGGATTTGGTTTTTATTTTTGCTTTTTAATAAAATTCAAGATCCCAAAAAAAATATCCTGTTGTTTTCGATCAATTTAGTTGGTCTATCAGTGGTCGGCAAACTGTGGCTCGCGAGCCACATGCGGCTCTTTGGCCCCTTGAGTGTGGCTCTTCCACAAAATACCACGTGTGGGCGCGCATGTACAGTGCGATTGAAACTTTGTGGCCCATGCGCAGAATTCGGTATTTTGTGGAAGAGCCACACTCAAGGGGCCAAAGAGCCTCATGTGGCTCGAGAGCCGCAGTTTGCCTACCACTGGATGTTTCCGTTTTTAGGAGTTCCCTTCATTTTCCTTTTTTTCTTACACTTCCTCAAAGTAATAGTGTAATGCCTTATTTTTATTTATGAAGAAGTTATCGTACTACTTGGTGACACTGTTTATTTAAATAAAGCAATTGCAGCGCATTTCTGCAGAAGTTCCTTAAAACATAAATTCTTTCCCGTGACCACAGTAGAAGTGGTGACTCTTCTCATGTCCAAGTTGCTTAAGTAGGTGAATAAAAGGAGCTACATAAAGAGTGTTATAAAATAAATTCATAATTTTTCCTAAGTACCTGCCTTCCATTTGGATTTTTCTTTTGCCTCCCTTGCCATTATAACTGTATCTAAGTATCTATGTACATATATATGCAACAAAATGTTAAAACACTGATTTCTTTTGATTTTAAGGAAGGCTAGTAATGATAAAATGTTAAGTGTTTGGAATTTCTTAAAGATTGCATAGTTGGAAATTTAGACATCTAGGCCTTATGAATAACATGCAAGAATTTTTTTTTTATTTTGTTTTATCTTTTCCACACAGACACTATTGTGTAACTATCCCTGAAATTCTACCCAAATTGCTTCTGTCTGTTAAATGGAATTCTAGAGATGAAGTAGCTCAGGTAAATGCATGTTTGAGATTCCTGAATAACTGTTGCTCGGATTGTTTCCTCTCACAAAGTCTGCATAACTATGAGGTGAAATAGACTGTTTTAAGTTAATTAATAATGGTAATATAGTAGAGAAAAATACCATTCAGACTGCTTCCACTGATAAAATTGATTAATTAGAACTGAACATTTTAAGCACTGAATTTATAATAGGACTTTTATCTAAACTAATTTTGAAATGAAGGGTTCATTCACAACTGTCTTTCCTTTAAAAATATGATTTGTGGTCTTTCTCATGCACAGATGTACTGCTTGGTGAAAGACTGGCCTCCAATAAAACCTGAACAAGCTATGGAGCTTCTGGACTGCAACTACCCAGACCCTATGGTTCGAAGTTTTGCTGTTCGATGCTTAGAAAAATATTTAACAGATGACAAACTTTCTCAGTATCTAATTCAGCTAGTACAGGTAAAATAATGTAAAAAAGAAAAATTATGTTTTATTCTAAATCCATGCAACTTCCAAAACCTCTACTGTATTAACTGATTTTATGCTTTTTTTAAAAATTAGTTTTGTCACCCAGTAGTATCTACTTTCTTTCTAAAAAATTACCTTTAATTCCAACCATTCGAAATTTGACTCTGGTTGATGTAAAGTTGTTTTATGTTTGTTTGTTTTTAAACACATAGGTCCTGAAATATGAACAGTATTTGGATAACCTGCTTGTGAGATTTTTACTCAAAAAAGCGTTGACTAATCAAAGGATTGGGCACTTTTTCTTTTGGCATTTAAAGTAAGTCAAATTATTTTCCCATTAAATTATCTACAGACATATTACTTTCTTTATGTATAAATATGCATACTTATATACTACTAGAGGCCCAGTGCACAAAAATTTGTGCACTTGGGACGGGGGGGGGGGGGGGGGGAGATCCCTCAACCCAGCCTGTGCCCTCTCGCAGTCTGGGACCCCTCGGGGGATGACCACCTGCTGGTTTAGGCCTTTTCCCTGGGGGATTGGGCCTAAGATAGCAATCAGACATCCCTCTGGCAGCCCGGCAGCCCTCGGGGGATGTCCACTTGCCAGCGGGGAGCAGACCTAAGCTGCAGTCAGACATCCTTAGCGCTGCTGAGGAGGCAGGAGAGGCTCCCACCACCACCACTGTATTGGCAGCCATCAGCCTGGCTTGTGGCTGAGCAGAGCTCCCCCATGTGGGAGTGCATTGACCACCAGAGGGCAGCTCCTGCATTGAGTGTCTGCCCCCTGGTGGTCAGTGTGTGTCATAGTGACCAGTCATTCCCAGTCCTTCTGCTGTTAAGGTCAGTTTGCATATTACCCTTTTACTATATAGGATAGAGGCCTGGTGCACGGGTGGGGGCCGGCTGGTTTGCCCTCAAAGGTGTCCCGGATCAGGGTAGGGGTCCCGCTTGGGTGCCTGGCCAGCCTGGATGAGGGGATGATGGCTGTTTGCAGCTGGTCACACCCCCTTCAGTGTGGGGGTCCCCACTAGGATGCCTAGCCAGCCTGGATGAGGGGCTGATAGCTGTTTTCAGGCTGGCCACACCCCCTTTAGGGTGGGGGTCCCCACTGGGGTGCCTGGCCAGTCTGGGTGAGGGGCTGAGGGCCGTTTTCAGGCTGGCCGGCAACTGAAGCTCCCAGCCTCTCCTTTTTTTCTTTTTTTCAATTCTGGGGTTTATTTACCTTCTTTAATCGAAACTTTGTTGCCATCCTTGCTCACTGCAGCTCTGAGGCCACTGCCTGCTGAAAGCAGGTATCTGGGGTTTGTTTAGCTTCTATAATTGAAACTTAGTTGCCGTCACTGGAGCTAAGAGCCGGCTCCACCTCCGTGGCCACGGCCGGCTGAAAGCAGGTATCTGGGGTTTGTTTAGCTTCTATAATTGAAACGTTGCTTTTGGGCTCAGAGCCGGGCCATGGCAGGTGGGGAACTTTGGCTTCCTCCATCACTGGAGCAAGTAAACCTCCTGCTCGCTTCAGCTGCGTGGCTGCCGGTCGCCATCTTTGTTGGCAGTTAATTTGCATATCTCCCTGATTAGCCAATGGGAAGCGTAGCGGAGGTATGGTTAATTACCCTTTTGTCTTTTATTAGATAGGATAGCTTTTGTTTGTCTGGAAGAATTTCCCATATTGAAAATATGTGGTACCAATCATGAGTTTCCTCTCAACCTTTTCTCTTTAGAATTAAATAAACAGTGAAATTCAAAACTGAATTTTCTACAGGAATGAGAGCTGAAATATTTTAAAGACTTTGATTCTACTTTAAGTGAAGTTAAATTTGTTAGGTTAATGTTGATTAATGGTATATTTGGTTTCACTGTGTGTGTGGATTAAAATATCCCAAAATAAAGAAAAAAAATCTTACCTTGGAATTGGAATTCAGAAGAATAATAACAAAAATCTCAAATTTCTCATTAGAAAAGAAGCTAATTAAGAATAGAAAAAATTATGTAGAATAAGATATACCTAATACTCAAAGTTAGGGGTCACAAACCAAACACTTTTTTCTAAATTTAAAAATAGATTTGTAGTTAACATGGTTTTTTAAATGTTAAAATTTAAAATGAAACCTAGAAGCTGAGTTTAAAATCACATAAATTTATTTTGGGATGTTTCTCTTTAATTTCCTTTTGGCTGGGTTAGTTGAGCTTCTGGGATTTCTAGATTTATAGTTTTTATCATATTTGGAAAATTATTGTGTATTTAGCAATGTTGCTTAATAAAATTTCATTTCATCCCCCCCCCAAAAAAAATAACTTAAATTCTGAGACAGTGTAGAAAAGGAACATGTATGCCAGCAGAGTCAAACAGTATTCACTGAACTCTTAACTCCCTCCCTATTCATTATATTTTTGTTCCTACTTCCCCTTTGTTCATGTTTATATATCTTGTACTGAGAGATTAGTTAATAAAAATTAGTTGAAATAAACCTAAAAGCTAGTACATTAACAGTTGAAGAACTATCAAACTCTCGATTGCTCTGCTTCTGAATGATAGGTTTTAAATTATTTTATTGTTAGTATGATATAACATTTATTGAATTTAGAAAAAAAATTTTAAATATATATATATATATACTCATTTGAGAATATATGTGTGTGTGTGTGCGCACGTGTGTGTGTGTGCGCGTATGTGTATGTATTGTCCTTTTTGTTTTAATCTTGCACTGTTTCTCTAGATCTGAGATGCACAATAAAACAGTTAGTCAGAGGTTTGGCCTGCTTTTGGAATCCTACTGCCGTGCATGTGGGATGTATTTGAAGCACCTGAACAGGCAAGTCGAGGCTATGGAAAAGCTCATCAACTTAACTGACATTCTCAAACAAGAGAAGAAGGATGAGACTCAAAAGGTATATGACTCTTTCGTTTGTTTTTAAAACTCTTTATTGCAGTGTGGCAGCGTTATTTGAGAGCCCAGTGTACAGGAGTGTGCAAAAGTAGGTCTATAATTGTGACTACACAAATAATACTTATTTATTATTGTATTGTTTATTTGTATTATTTCCATATGAACAAGTGTAAACCTACTTTTGCCCACCTCTGTATATGCAGATCATGGGTCTTAGAATCAAGCATATTAGGATTTGTATCCATTTCCACTGGTTCTTGGCTGTGTAATGTTGGACACATTATTTAGTCTTTGAGATTCATCTTCCTTATCTGTAAAATGGGAATAATTCTTTCTTCATAATGTTGTTGTGATAATTAAATTATATGAGATATGCAAAGCTCCTGTCACAGTCCCTAGAGCATGGGAAGTGCCCAGTAAATGTTAGTTCTCTCTCTCTCTCTTCCTTTTCATATAATCCTTTTAAAAATAATTTTTCCAATACTTTCAACAATAAAGAATTATTAAAAAATAAATAAAAATAAATTTTCCTATTCTATGTCACTTACTCTTTTAGTAATGACCTTAAAAATGAGTGGAAGAAAATTAGTGTTTACATTTCAGAGTTTTAAATGGACTCAGTTACTCAGTGAATATGTCACACTTTAGTCAAGTGCAATCAAGCTTAGAGTTTCTGAGGAATATGAAATATGAAGATTTTTCATGAGCTCTTCCTATTCTTTATCCTTTATTCCACCATATTTTATAGTTAAAAGTGAAATCATACTTCATCTCTAATGAAGTGAAAAAAAAAATCCCAGCTTATTAGTGAGTCCTCAAAGTACACAAAATGTAAATTAGCAGTACTGGATTAATTTTTCTAATATCTTCATTAATATTGCTTGAAAAAATATTACTTTCTGTAAAAAAAAAAAATAGTTACTGTTTTAATCTAAATGCCACAGAATTGATTTTATTAAAGTTGTGGTATATAAGTTTAAATGTAGATTCTTAGAAAATAATTATACTGTTTCTGATGCTGGAATTGTGAGCAAGAGGGGACTAGACTGCTTTGAAAGAATAACGCATATTAGATTTATATTGTAACTGAGATAAGAAAAAGAAACTAGATATTAGTTAAATTAGTAAATATAGGCATTTTTTCTAAACTGGAATTTTATATAACAGATTGGCCATGATACAGTGGATTAATTAGGAACATGAAATTCGCTACTCAGATTACTATTGGCTTACATGGAGTTGTGATAGGGAACTAAAAACACAGTCATAGGATTTGTGGAATCTAAAAAAAAGCAACAACTGTATAAGCAGAACGGAAACAGACTAATAGATACAGAGAACTTTTTGATAGTTGTCAGATGGAAGGGGGTTGGGGATGATTGAAAAAAGTGAACGGGTTAAAAAATACAAATTGGAAGTTACTGAATGGTCACGGGGATGTAAAGCACTGCCCCAGCCATAGGACTAAAGGCAGTTACTTTGTGTGGTTTGTATTTTATCATAACAATGGTAAAGTGCAGGAAACAGTATACTAACATTAGGGCTGATAGCGACAGAGAAAGAAATGCCTTTACATGATCAAGAGCCCTAGTCAGTGATGACTACATTTTCTAGCTATTCACTTATACATAGTAAGGAAGGGGGGGACGGGGATTTGTTACTAAAATCTAGCATGAATATAAATTTATTATGAAGTCCTAAACTCTTTTTTGTTCCCCACTAATATTTTACATTTTCAATAGATAGAGGTTTTCTAAAATAAAATGGCAATTCTTGCATGATAGCTCAGCAGTCTGGGCTCTGCTTTGAACTGATTAAAAAATCATGTTCCTTTCTAACTCTATGCTAGAGCATGAGTATAGTGTGAGACTCAGTGTAACAAATGTTTTTACAAGTCCTTTTCCCAGCAGTTCCTTTTAGCCTCCCTTGACCTTTTCTACCCAACAGAAAGAGAGTGAACATGATGTCTCCATAGCTTTTCCTCTACAACAGTGGGTCAGCAAACTTTTTCTTACAAGGCCAGATAATAAATAGATTTTCAGGCCATGTGGACTCTGTTGTAATTACTTAACTCTGCTGTTTGAGTGAGAAAACAGCCAAAGTCTAAATGAATGGGCATGGCTATATTCAATTCAATTTGATTTACAAAATCTGGCCACTGACCTCCTGTAGTTGACCACGCCCTGTTCTAGAGCCAAAGCATTGCCTCTGTCATCAAGCAGAGTTCTGCTCACAGGGAGGTGCACAGCGCTGTCACTCTCACCTCTGCCTGAGTTTGTCTGCTCTGTGTTACAGAAGCACATCTAACTAGAATGCTGCTAATCCAAGCTATCAATTCAAAGGCTGAGGTTCCAGTGTATAAAAGAAATTAGCAGTTAGTTTTATCTTTTATGAGTTCATCTCTAATCACAATTACACTAATTTATCAGGTACAGATGAAATTTTTAGTTGAGCAGATGCGGCGACCAGATTTCATGGATGCTCTACAGGGCTTTCTGTCTCCTCTAAATCCTGCTCATCAATTAGGAAATCTCAGGTAAGGTACCTTATTGGAAGTTTTATTTATATATTTAAATAGTACCCTCTTTGGAGAAAATCTTGAGAAAAGTCAAAATGTCCATTATAATTAGCCCTAGCTGGTTTGTTCAGTGGGTAGATGTCGGTCTGTGGACTGGGGTATCCCAGGTTCGATTCTGGTTAAGGGCACATGCCCAGGTTGTGGGCTTGATCCCCAGTTTGGGGGTGCAGGAGGCAGCCGATCAATAATTCTCTCTCATCATTGATGTTTCTCTCCCTTTTCCTTCCTCTCTGAAATCAATAAAAGTATATATATTTTAAAAAGTCCATTATAATTAGAATATTCCATTATACAGGGTGAGGCAAACGTAGGTTTACAGTTGTGAATACATGAAGCTCAGTTTATTCGTGTATTATTTATTAATTATTGTATTATTTCCTATACAAACAACTGTAAACCTACTTTTTCCCCACCTTGTACATGCTTCCTTCTCCCATTCTCCTCCCCTACAAAGTAAGAGTTACAAAATTTTCTTAAGTTCAGAATGAGTTTTACTACTTTAATAATGGAGTTTAAAACACTCTAGAGCCATAATTTCTTGTATCATAGGATAAGAAATGGAATGTAATATCTGTAAAACTAACGATGTGGCCCTGGCTGACATTATTCAGTGGTTAGAGTATCGGCCTGCGCGCAAAGGGTCGCGAGTTCAATTCCAGTCAAGGGCACATATCTGGGTTGCAGGTTCAGTCCCCAGCCCAGGTTGGGGCACGTGTGAGAGGCAACCAATTGATGTTTCTCTCACATTGATGTTTTTCTTTTTTTCTTCCTCCCCCTCCTCCTTTCCACTTTCTCTGAAAATCAATGGAAAAAATATCCTTGGGTGAGGATTGAAAAAAAGAATGTGAATAGGAAAATAAAAGCTAATAATGTGTCCCTATGTTTGTTGAAAATTCATAAGCTATTATGTAATTAATTTTTAAGCTTAATATTTTTTACTTTTTTAAATTATTTATTGATTTGAGAGAGCGAGGGAGGGAAGGGGGGGACATCAATTTGCTGTTCCAATTAATCTACTCATTCATTGGTCGCTTATATATGCCCTGTCCAGGGAGGGATTGAACCTTCAACCTTGGTGTATCAGGACAACCCTCTAACCAACTGAGTTTTTCTCTTTATAATCCCTTAGAAATGAATTCATTAATAAAATCAAGTAGAAACTTTAAAATTTTTATAACACTTTAGAAAGCTATGCTATTTTAAAATCAATTTGAGGGTAAAGAATAATAAAGCTAAAGTGCCTATTAAAGTGTTTAACTATTTTAAAGGCTTGAAGAGTGTCGAATTATGTCCTCTGCAAAAAGGCCACTGTGGTTGAATTGGGAGAACCCAGACATCATGTCAGAGTTACTCTTTCAGAACAATGAGATCATCTTTAAAAATGGGGATGGTAAGGAAGAGTATTAATGAACCTATGATGCATGAATTTAGCTATCCTTTTATATACAGGATATTTATGAACCATGAAGACTATTGAAAGCTATTTAAGGAATATGCATGTGGTAAAATGTGTAATATTAAGCAGATGTCTTGGCCTTTAGAATATGTATGTATAATTATTGAAAAGAAGTACTGGTTTAGAATCAGAAAGCTTGAATCTGTTTCTAACTATCATTTGTTTAGCTATGAGAGTGTCCATTTATTCCATAAACATTTGATGTGCTAGACAGTGGGGTTGTAAGAATAAACAAAACAGAATCCCTGCCCTCTTAAAGGTCACATTCTAGCAGAGAAGAGAGAGATGTAAGACAAATAATTATAAAAATAAAATTACAACCATCGTACAAAGGAAAAGTGTAGTTTGCTAAGAAATCATGTAAAAGGAGATCCTAATTTACTTGGAGAACAGGCTGTGGGGGAGCAGAGTGAGGGTCACTGATGGGTTTCCATTGGGGAAATGACATTTCAGCATTGAATTCAGTTAATCAAATGTTTAAATATAAACATGTTCACATTTAAGAATTCAGAAAAATAAATGTTTTAATTTAAAATGTTTGGAAAATACTTTATCCTACATTGTTATATAGATGAGTTTATGTAGATACTTTAGAAATGGGTTAAAGAGTCAAAATATTGCTTCCTTATAGATTATTTTGAAGAGTAAACATAGCTCTATTTATTTATCATTTGAAAACAATGTGATGACATGATACCCAAATGTGTACTTATGGCATTAAGTGGTAGTACATATTATTTGAATTTCAGATTTGCGGCAAGATATGCTAACACTTCAAATTATTCGCATTATGGAAAATATCTGGCAAAATCAAGGTCTTGATCTTCGGTAGGTAACCAATAAGGCATCATGTTTGTTGAAAATTACCCTAAAAAAGTAAGCTATTCGTAAATATTAATTTTAAAGCATGTAGAGGCATACATCTGTAAAGAAAAGTATGGGGCAGTAATTAACACTAGTTCCTTTCCTTTGTCCTCCTCCTCTTTGGCTTACTATACCTACTGAGATTCAGCTAAGTAAGAAGAGCTCTTTCTTATAAGCTGGTAGATTGCACCTGCGAGTGTCTGTTTAGGAATAGGACATAGGAGACAAAAGGCCCCTGTTGTCTTTCAGAAGTTGAGTTTAGAAGAAAGTTTCTTTCATAACTTTAAATTTTCTAATTTTAAAACTTTCTAAATTCTCTAGTCTTAAATCAATTTTGCAGAAAAATTTATGAAAGCAACTAATCTTAAAGCTTTTACCATTCTGTTGATTTCTGGCCAGCCTTCCACAATCACCAGTATTATCTCCAAGTTTTCTCTCATGCGTCATCTTCTAGTGACCTTTGCTTCTAATGGTTTTTCCTTCTCTTACTTTGCAAATCTAGGATCTTTCAGGCAAAGGCCACCCTCTCCAGAAGAATTTTGTCTGTAAGTGGGCATAAGAGATAGGAATCAACGCTAGCTAGATTAGGGTTTATTTGTATGCTTCTTCTAGATTAAGAATAGCTTGTATATAAAAGTGTATCAGTGACAAATAATAGAACCCTTTTATTGCAAAGAAGAAAAATGGACATCTCAAGTAACCTGCCAAATTACAAATTTTATATATCAACGTTAATTCTTAATTTCTTATTCTTTGCCTAATCCCTTCTGCTTTCCAAAAACAATTCCTATTGTATGAATCAGGTTTCCTTTTTTGGTATAATTTCCTGTTGTGAGAGATCCACATGCCGCTGCTACCACCACTCCCAGGGGAGTAGAGTACAAAAGAGAGTGCAGAACTAGACAGTTGAGGAAAGATTTAACTATATAACTCTGGTAATTAAAGATATTTAATTGTAAATTAGTGACTGCAAAAAAAAGCATCTAAAGTGGAGCTTGGTCATTGGAAAGTAAATTGGATCTTTAGAAAGTTTTTAAGTCATAATATTTTCTAAATATTGTTCTTTAAATTAAATTAAGGTTAAAATTTTTGTTTAAAGTTTAATTTTAAATAAAATGATAACATTTTTATTTATTCTTGGCAAAAGTTAGATTCAGGATTATGGTGAGTCTGTTTGGTAGTGTTTTGTTTTTTTTCCTAACTAGCCTTGTAGGGACTATGTGACTCTTTAAACTATGAGCACGTTCAGTAGCAATAAAATATAAATAAGAGAATGAGCAGGAGTACAGCCTTAAGGAATTCCTGTATTTACCAGAGCAGATAGAAGAAAAGATTCCATAAGAAAAATGTTCAAAAGAGTAGGAGGACCAGAATAAGTGATTCACAGAACCCCAAAGAGGGAGAGATTCACAAACAATTTAGTGTCATGTGCTTCGGGGTATTTCTTAAGCCCTTGGATCTGATTATTCATGGTTAGCTTTAAGAAGAGCTGACTAAGTAAAGAGGTAGGCGGACTCAAACTCTAAGCTTCCTTCCATTAAAATACTGCATTAGATTGAATACAGAAGCATATATGAGAATTCAGCTCATACTGTTAAGCTAGACATTCAAGAAATTTGAAATAATGGAAAACAGTGTTACTCTTCTAAGTTTTATTAATACAGTCTTTTATGTCATAATAGATGTTATTTATATTACCTTATAATAGCTTGTTGTTATTTTATAATTATTTTATGAATTCATTAATATTTTAATTTTTATTTTTTCCATTTTAATTTCTAACATCAATAGATATAGCCCATATAAATAAAAACTCTGGGGAATCCACAGGAATTTTTAAGAATATTAACAAGTCCTGAGACCAAAAATTTGAAACTGTTGCCTTAAAGTATTATTTAGATGTCAATGAAACATCTTTAAATTCATATTTTTAAGCTACAAATGTTTATAAAATTTTAATTGCCATAATAATTTTCTTAATGCTTTTCTGATATAAAAGTAAATGTTTTTTCAATTCAAGGTTATAATAAATGATGGCAGATCATTTTGAGGATTTTTCTAGGAATGTCACCTATATATATAAAAGCCTAAGTGACTGAATGACTGAGCGGCCAGTCAACCGGTAGCTATGCTCAATGCAGGCGGGCACCAGGCGGGCAGATGCTCAATGCAGGAGCTGCCCCCTGGTGGTCACTGCTCTTCCACAGCCAGAGCACTGCTCAGCCAGAAGCCGGGCTCACGGCTGGCAAGCACAGCTGTGGTGGTGCGAGCCTCTCCCACCTCCGCAGCAGCGCTACTGGGCGGCCGGCAGGCACAATGGGGCCGGGATGAGTAGAAGCGAGTGGTGTGGCACCCAGCCCGGTCTCCTACCTGGCCGCCTGCCACTTCATGCACTACTACATCCCTCGGGAGATGGTTTCGGGCTGAAACCGGCAGTCTGACATCTCCCGAGGAGTCCCAGATTGCAAGAGGGCACAGGCCAGTCTGAGGGACCCCACCGGTGCACGAATTCGTGCACCAGGCCTCTAGTACTATAATAAAAAAATAAAATAAAGTTAAGGGAGTAACATTACAAATTTGCAAATACAAATTTTCATGTACTAGCCTGTTAAAATCTTTGATATTTTAAAATTCTGTCCTTTAACTGCAAATGTTTCGATCCTTTTCCAGAATGTTGCCTTATGGCTGCCTGTCCATTGGGGACTGTGTGGGGCTCATTGAGGTGGTGAGAAACTCTCACACCATCATGCAGATCCAGTGCAAAGGGGGCCTGAAAGGGGCCCTGCAGTTCAACAGCCACACGCTGCACCAGTGGCTCAAGGACAAGAACAAAGGGGAAATGTGAGTGTCATTCTTAGCTTCCTGTGTAATCTACGTTGTTGTCAGACACGTCTTTTAACGGTTGAATATACTTCCGAGTTAGACCAGAGAAAGCAGCTTACTTACTTTGGAAAAAAATATGTTCAACCTTTGACATATATGAGATTGTGTTTAAATGATCAGAATTGCTTATTACTTAGTGAAATCCTATACATTCAACATAGCTATCTGAAAGGTGTTTTTCTTATTGCTTATTCTTTTTTAGAAAAATTAACATTGCAAATTAAAATTTTTACTTCTGGGGTTATTGTTATAGCAATTAGAAAAAATATTTTTAATGACATAATAAGTATTTTTTCACTATAATAAGAATTGTGCTTTGGTCTGAGAGTATCTGGAAATTCCTTAGAAACCTTTGAAAATTTTAGAATCTCAAAACTTCTCACTTTTTTGGACATAATTACTTCTTCCCCCTAATGTCAGTGATTGTTTTCATTGCTTTAATACAGACTTTGATCCTCTTTTCCCAGTTTGGACTGGATTACTCTGTATTTCCACAGAACTCATAAAGAGTTTATTTCTTCTTTGTAGATACGATGCAGCCATTGATCTGTTTACACGTTCATGTGCTGGATATTGTGTCGCTACCTTCATTTTGGGAATTGGAGATCGTCACAATAGCAACATCATGGTTAAAGATGATGGACAAGTAATAGCTTTCTCTTTTCAACCGTTTTGGTGTTCTTAAACTTGTTAATTCAGGATATTATATTTCTGCATTTATCAAACTATAACATAATTTTTTCTGTTTGAAAGCTGTTCCATATAGATTTTGGACACTTTTTGGATCACAAGAAGAAAAAATTTGGTTATAAACGAGAACGTGTGCCATTTGTTTTGACACAAGATTTCTTAATAGTGATTAGTAAAGGAGCCCAGGAATGCACCAAGACAAGAGAATTTGAGAGGTAAGCTCAAGAAATCAAAAGCACAAAATGAAGAATTCTTGCTGCTATATCAAACCAATTGATATTTTTCAATTAATATATATAAAAGATGTTATATTAACATTGGAGTATAAACTGAATATTTTAATTTATTGTATAATGCAGTGAAGAAAAAACTATTTAGTCAAAGTCTAAAAGGAAAGTGATCTTTAAACTTCTTAATACATTAAGCTTTTACTTACTGCTGTTAAAATACTTGGACTCCACCTTCTCTATATTGACAAATAATGTATAGTGCTTAAGACATTTTTTAGTCATGCAATTTGAGGAATTCCGTCAACTATAAGTAGTTTATCTTAATCCTTAAAGTACTTTTAAAACCTTTTATAAAATTTTGTTTTATCTATAACTCAGTCCTGGCCCTAGACTAAATCCTAAATGGATTGATTCATGTATTTAATAAATCCTTATTAAACTCCTAATGTGCCATACCATCTTGTAGGTACTGAAGATAAAGCAGTAAACAAAGCCTTTTTGGGTGCGTGAAGTTTATGTTCTAGTGTAGGATTAAAGGGATTGAGGAGAGGAATGCTATTTTTTTAATATATTTTATTGATTTTTTTACAGAGGAAGGGAGAGGAATAGAGAGTTAGAAACATTGATGAGAGAGAAACATCGATCAGCTGCCTCCTGCACACTCCCCACTGGGTATGTACCCACAAGCAAGGTACATGCCCTTGACCGGAATCGAATCTGGGACCCTTGAGTCCACAGGCTGACGCTCTATCCACTGAGCCAAACCGGTTAGGGCAGGAATGTTATTTTTTATAGGTTTGTCCAAGGAAGCCTCTCTAATGAGGTGACATTTGAGCAGAGCCCCGAAGCTATTAATGCCATTTGCTTCATACTAACCAACTTGTTCTTATTACTTGTAGGTTTCAGGAGATGTGTTACAAAGCTTATCTAGCTATCCGGCAGCATGCCAATCTCTTCATAAATCTTTTCTCAATGATGCTTGGCTCTGGGATGCCAGAACTACAATCTTTTGATGATATTGCATACATTCGAAAGACCCTAGCTTTAGATAAAACTGAGCAAGAGGCTTTGGAATATTTCATGAAACAAATGAATGATGCACATCATGGTGGCTGGACAACAAAAATGGATTGGATCTTCCACACAATTAAGCAGCATGCTTTGAACTGAATGATCACTAAGAAATTGAAAGCTCGATATTGGATTCTAGTCTGCACTGTTAATAACTGTCAACAGGCAAAGACTGATTGCATAGGAATTGCACAATCCAAGAACAGCATTAGAATTTACAGCAAGAACAGAAATAAAATACTATATAATTTAAATAATGCAAATGCAAACAGGGTTTGATAGCACTAAACTAGTTCATTTCAAAATTAAGCTTTAGAATAATGCGCAATTTAATGTTATGCCTTAAGTCCAAAAAGGTAAACTTTGAAGATTGTTTGTATCTTTTTTTAAAAAACAAAACAAACAAAAAAAACCCCAAAATATATAGAAATGATGGAGAAGGAAAAAGAATGATGCTCTTTTTTGTCTTGCAAATGTTCTATGTTTTGAAATGTGGACACACAAAGTCTATTATTGCATTAGGTCCAGGTAAACTGGAGTTTGATGTTAAATTACATTAAGATGGGAAATAATGAAATTTCTTACTTTTTTTTTTCATTGCTGTTCAACTTATAGTTTGAAGTGGGTTTTTGACTCCTTGTTTAATGAAGAAAAATGCTTGGGGTGGAAGGGACTCTTGAGATTTCACCAGAGACTTTTCTTTTTTAATCAAACCTTTTGATGATTTGGGGTCTTATCTGCAAAGTTTTGGAAGCAGTCACAAATGAGACCTGTTATAGGGTGGCTTTTGGGTTTTTTTCTGGACAGTATTTGCAAGAATCTGATTCTTATTTCCCAGGGAAATTCTGGGGGCCCATAAAGTAAAATAATCATAGAGAAAGAATGAGCAGGAATAGTTCCTGCTTCAGAATTGTACAGTATTCACCTTAAGTTGATTTTTTTTCCTCCTTTTGCAATTGATGAATTGAATACATTTTTCATGCATGTTTTCCAGAAAAATAGAAGTGAGTATTAATGTTATTAAAAAGATTATTTTTTTTATTAAAGGCTATTTATATTATAGAAACTATCATTAATATATATTCTTTATTTCATGATCTGTCCCATAGTCATGCATTGTTTTGCACCCCAAATTTTTTATTGTTCATATCAGCAATGGTCAGCTCTTCTCTTGGTCTTTGGAGAAGGCTCAGGCACTATCCCATTTATACCAATACTAGTGAATAACTACTTAAAGAAAACAGATTAAAGTTTATCCTTATTTTTCTTTCTCTTTTTACATGAATCCCCCATCTTCCATCCTCTTTTATAGTTCAGAATGCCTCAATCATATGAAATTAGTTACCAAAATTAATACAATTTAGAGTATCTTCCTGATTGCTTAAACCCTCTACAGAGGTATGCTCATGAATAATACTTTATAATATGGGGAAATAGAAACCATGAACTTTTTACCATTTCAGGCTATTTATCCAATATCTCAATAATAAAAGCAGGATTATGTCCCATTTCCAAGTGGTCAGGGCTCACTCTCCATTTTCATTAAATTGCAGTTGAGCACAGGATACATTCTTAAACATTTTGAAAAACATTAACCCAAGATGTAGGGGCTAAAGCTAGTCATCACTCCAGAATCTGATATTTTACTCAGTATTTGAAATGAATGATTAATTCCCTAGGAAATAGTTTTAGCAAATGTTCAGGTGCCACACCAGAGAAAGTGCAATAATTTACTGACAGTTTTCTAGATTAGGCATATTATTGGAATACAACTTTATAAAGAGCACACATTGTATACTCTAGTGAAACAGCATCACTAAAATATCTTCACTTATGAAATCAGTTACCTATAGTCTTGAATAGTGAACAAGGACTCTAATACAAATACTCTTAATATTTGGCTATTTTAGAACCCTTAAAGGGTGTAATTATTGAAGATTTAGGTACTTCACTAAGGCATGTATATAATATTGCCAAGAGGAAAAATAAATTTGAAGATATGGGGAACTTATTTCTCTAAACTGTCTTGGAATAGTTCAGAAGAATTTAAACTCTATTAAGCAGGAAAACAATCTATTCTTTTGCAGAAAATTTCATAACTTATTAAAACTTCATCATTCATATTTTGTGTCTTAGATCTATTCAGTTATAATACATACTACCATCCCAGTCTTTTCTGTATCAGGAATTGATTACAGGAAAACTCACTGAAATGATACAAGTCTGAGACTCTGTTGGTGGAAAGTGAAGTTTTAACAGTACCAACCGTGTTTTACCTGAGTGCCAAAAAAGCTTTGAGCTTCCTTGCACAGAATTTATACAATTTTTGCTCTTTCCACATTAATTCAGTTAGTCCACTTGCCCTGGGACCTCTCCACCATTAAAACACATGCCACATACCATATTTCATCATTGACATTTATTTTCAAGACTTATTACAACCAAATTAAGTCTGTTTGAGAGGTTTAAATAAATTTTATAAAGAATAGAGATTAAGTGATCTAGCTAAAAGCAAAGTAAATATTAAACAAATCCAAGCAGAGTTTAAGCAGACAGCATTAAAAATAAGAAAAAAGGGACAGGTGGTTCTCAGAAGACAAAGAACCAAAAACTGAATTAAATGCTATATGGGAGACTAGGATGTTTTAAATTATGACAACATAGTTGCTTCCAGGTACTTTAGTATCAGAGATCAATTCCAATTGATCACTTCCTATGGCCAGCCATACGTCATTGAATGTGGTATAACTGTTGGCTCTACAGTTTCATTTGGTCACTTGAGCAATATTTCCTTCAATGACTATTTTGGAGGGGGGGGAGGAGTAGGTTTAAAGAAAGTAAGACCTAATTTTAAACACATTCTAGCAAGAAATAACCCACTGTTCAAAAATCATGCTTTAACTTTTTGTTACATTCTCAGCTATACAAAATTGTGTATTTTAAAATTTTTTACACTGCTGTTAATTTGAAATCTGTTAATCATATTGTGGAATTTGGTGTGTTTTTTTAAAAGATGTTTCTAATTGGATTTTTTAATCAAGAATGGAATTTGGTCTCTATTTTCTGATAGAACCTAAGCTTTTTGTGGTTCTTAGTGTCCTGTGTAAAACTTAGTGTCAAAGTAATCAACTTTGAGGTTTTCCCTTCTACTCTGCTTTATATTACAAGCCCTTTAGGAAATGGAACCTGGTGAATATACAATGAATTGTAAAATATTTTAATGTGTAACTTTTTCAACTGTGAAACTATGACTATTGGTTTTTTGATGAAAACAACTGCTGATAAAGTATTTTGTGTAAAGTGTAGTTCTTATTAGTCAGGAAAATAATCAGTGACTTGATTAGAATGTATATACCCTCTTGGATTTTATTTTAAGTGGATTGGTAATTTTCACATAGGTAAAACACAGTCCAACTGTATTTTTTCCATCAAAAACCGTGATTTGGCATTCTTAAAAAATTATGAGCAGCCCATCTATTCTAAAGGCACCATGGAAATTTCACAGCATATAAACCTGAATTTGTTTCTTAATGATTTTATAAATCCATTTAATTCATATCCTGGCTATTGCCTATGCTTGTCAGCTCTTTGGAGAAATTTAATTCCTAGCATTAGTTTAAAGCCAGCAGGTTAACTTTTTGTGAAAGTTATAAAGTTCCTTTTGTTTCATTGCCTGCACCAACAGCAGACCTGGGCTGGACCCACACACTCAGAATCCACCTTAAAAAATTAATTTTGATGTCCAGGACATCACTGTAGTATTTCAATGGAAAGGCCATATATGGTGTTAATGGATTGTGGTGCTTCTACTATTTAAAAACAACTTTCATACTTCAGATGTGTTTGAGAAGAGGGGAATCGGGGGTGAGGGGGGTGCAAAACAGGGAGGAGTTGTTTGAATGAATTACATTCTTCATATCCTGCTCAGATGTGGCATGAAAGAAGGCTGAAAGTTGTGAGAATATATTGTGCATACCACAAGGGAATTAACCCTTCATCAAGGATGGGATTGTGAAGGCTGAACTATAAGATTCAGCATTGACAGGATACTCAGATAATCATTCTTGGTGACAGAATAATACAGCTGGGCTGTTTGTTTTTTTTAAATATAAACACAAACCATTTTTATTTTTTAATTATTACATTAAAAATTGTAAATGAATCTTATGTGCCATGGCCTGGAAAGCCTTTTTTCTTTTCTGTTAAACGTTATGTTCACTTTCTGAAAAGACTAGGGCTTAGCTCAAGGTAACTGTGGTCCTGATAAAATTAGATTGGTAACTCTACCTCAGAAGGTTAATAAGGAAAAAAAATAGATGAGTCACAATCCAATACTTTAGGCTCTGATATTACCGAAATTTGCAGAGCACTGTATTTGAGATTTATAGTCAGAGTTGGCATGCCTCGTTTTTAACGGCATTGGAGACATTAAGAAAAAAAAAAATTGGTTAAAAATTTAATCATTGCTCCAGCCATTTGGCAAAGGCATAGTGCTAGGAGGTTCATGGTACTAGGTTCTTGAATTTGATATTTAAAATTAGTTGTGTTCTCTTTTCTTAATTATTAGTGAAATTAAAGTGTGTATATGTGCACACATTTCTATTTGTATACACGCTGCTTGCTAGTTCTAGTCAAGGGGCATCTTTTATAAAAGATGTAAACATCCAGGTTCTAAAATTCAGAAGAGTTTAGAATTTATTAGGAGTTTCCCAAGTTGGGATGGTAGTTTTTAAATAAGCTTATTTCATTCAAGTATTCCACTTGATTAAAGTTTTGCACTTCCTTTTTATCAATGCAGCACCATTCCTTTTGCTTAGATATGTTAATATTTTAGATATGTTAATATTACAGCCATGCTGGCTAGCATATAGTGACAGTTATGAGCCATCAGGAAATTTTCTGACTTAATTTTTACACAATTACATATAAGTTTCAACAGGAAAGGGGAAAAAAAAAAACAATAAAAGCAGTCCCTTTTACATTTAGTATAGTTGGGTAACTGATTTTCACTACTAACTGTAAACTCCATTCCACAAGTTGGTAAGTATGGAAAGGGGCTTTTTAAATGTACTTTGTAAGCTATTCAGGTCTATGAATCTATCTGAAATCATTTAATTTGTCACTACAATAATTTTGTGGTTATGCTAAGAGACATGTACATTTTTTAAGTGAAAAGTTTTTCGTTAATACTTCTAAGTTAGGAAGGAGGCAGAAAACCAACTTTGATATTTTCTCAAAATATCTTTAATAAGACTGAACTCCTTAATTCTAGTGTAAATTTCCAAATGTGGTCATTACCTATTGATTTCATAAGAAACGGCCCCTTACCAGATTTAATGTATGTTCCTATGAGTGGTCAGTGAAGTTGGCCTTCCTCTGACTTCAAATGCAATCAATGGTTTAAATATGATTTTGTCCTTGTACTTAAGTTGAATAAAACCTAAAAGAATGTGTCCTTTTGGAACATAACACTTTAACAGCTTGGGGAATGTGGCACTACCAAGACTACTAACCCATCAAATGTTGACTTTGGGAATTTTAAAAATAGCTCCTACCACCCTTTTTAGCCCCACTTAATGTAGCAAATCGATCTCACTCTATTTTGTCATTCAATGAATTGAAGTCCTGTGGTATACTGCATTCGTTAGGAGAAAAATGTTTTTAAATGTTCCTTTAATGATGGCCCAAAAAGTATTTGACACAGCAAGATGCATGTGTTATTCTACTGAGAATATAGAATAATAGTGTCACTAAATTTAAGACCTCTTCCCAGTCTTGCTGTTCCTAGCAAGAAGCTTGGCCTGTGACTGCACTTATGTTTGTGCTCATCAGAAACTGTCAATGTCTGCTTTTCTTTAACTTCGTAGTCTGTAACATCACATTGTTTATTAAAAAAAGAAAATTACTTTGACTTGTGTCCAAATAATCCTTAGTGTTTCATATATTTTATATTTTAAACAAAAAACTGTGATAAGTATATTTTGCCATTTTTTGAATACTTAAAAGCAAACCAGTATTGCTAATCACCAAATTTTAGCTGAATTTGAGTTCTTATCAATAATGACTGAGAAACATTGAATGAAAACCTGAAACTATTATGCCTTCAAAGTCAGTTTTTCTGCCCCAGTAAAGTGATTAATATTAGAGAAATATCTGCTTAAATATTCCTTTAAGCATGAAAAATTATATGCTTGTATTTTAAGCAGAAATATATGTATACACATACATGAATGTATAAATATGTTTGTATGTGTAAACAGGCTTTTTTCAAGTCACTTGAAGAACAGAACCTAGAAAGTAGGTTAGAAGCAAACTGGTTTTGCTTTTAATTAATATAAGCCTTGCAAAAGGTAAGTGCGAACTTTTTTGGACCCATAATGCACATGGGCATTGACACTTAATACTTCTAAACAATTAACAGCAAATAATTTCTTACATTTAGTTTATTTGCCAAGTGATTTGAGTGACTTTGAATTAATATTGTTCTAAATTGACTTTGTTCTCCAAGCATAATATGTCTTTCCTAAGATGAACCAAGTAACCACTATACAAATGGAAAACGGTAGGAATTCAAACACTTGTGGTTTCAACACTTTCACACACTCTAGGTTTCAGATTAGTGGTTTTGAATTTGTTAGGAGAAAAATCCCAAGAATTGCATATTGTTAGATGGGTGTCAAACTTACTAAGAAATAGAATAGAACCCGGCCAGTGTAGCTCAGTGGTTGAGCATCGACCTATGGACCAGGAGTCCACGGTTTGATTCCCAGTCAGGGCAGAGCCCAGGTAGTGGGCTTGATCCCCAGTGTGGGGGCATGCAGGAGGCAGCTGGTCAATGATTCTCGTCATTAATGTTTCTATCTCTCTCTCCCTTTTCTCTCTGAAATCAATAAAAATATTTTTTTAAAAAATAGAATAGAGATGTGCCCTTAATTTAAGAAAACTACAGAAACTCAATTTGAAGAAAGATTTAAATGTGTATACATATGTATATTTCATTACAGGGAAGTCTTTGGTATACATAAGCCTTTTAAACAGCACATTCTGGACCTTACATGCATATTTTTAGCAAAGATGGTGGGGAGGATCCTCTCCCATAGCTTCCTGCCCTCACCCCTATACCAGCTGTCCAATGAAAGGTACTGAGGCTGATTGAATTCCTTTTAGCCCCATTTAATGTAGGGGCTTAATAAGAATTGTATACATTTTAGGTCTACAATATAATGATTTGATATACAGAGTGAAATGATTACTACAGTCAAGCTAATTAATGTATCACCTCACAGTTACTGTGTGTGAGATGAGAGTGCCTGAAATCTCAACAAATTCCCAGTACTCAATACACTATTAACTATAGCCATCATGTGTATACTAAATCTCTAGATTTATTGTTCATCTTATAACTGAAAATATGTATCCTTTAACCAACATCTCCCCATTTCCCCCACCTGCCGAAACCGGTTTGGCTCAGTGGATAGAGCGTCGGCCTGCGGACTGGGGGGTCCCAGGTTCGATTCCGGTCAAGGGCATGTACCTGGGTTGCGGGCATATCCCCGGTAGGAGATGTGCAGGAGGCAGCTGATCGATGTTTCTCTCTCATCGATGTTTCTAACTCTCTATCTCTCTCCCTTCCTCTCTGTAAAAAATCAATAAAAAATATAAAAAAAAAAGAAAATATGTATCCTTTAACCAACATCTCCCCATTTCCCCCACCTCCCTACTCCTAATAACCATCATATTACTCTGTTTCTATGTATTTGACTTTTTTTAGAGTCCACACAAATGCGGTGGAATGCAGTTTTTTTCCTTTCTGTGCCTGGCTTATTTTACTTAATATAATGCCTGCCAGGTTCATCTGTGTTGTTGAAAATAGCAGGATCTCCTTTTTTTTTTATTTTTAATCCTCACCCGAGGATATGTTTATTGATTTTTTTTAGAGAGAGAGAACATCAAATAGGTTGCCTCCCATACACGCCCAACCAGGGACCAAACCTGCAACCTTGTGATGCGTGAGACAACATTCCAACCAACTGAGCCACCTGGCTGGGGCAAAATCTCCTTTCTAGAGGCCGAATAATATTCCATTGTATGTACTTAAACACACATTATATATCTATCATCACCATGTCTTTAGTCTGTTGATGGGCACATGGCCTGTCTCCATATCTTGATTATTGTGAACAATGGGAGTGCAGGTATCCCTTGGAGGTGCTGATTTTATTTCCTGTGGGTATGTGGCCAGAAGAGGAATAAGGCTGGCTGAACATTAAAACTTAGCAAAAGATTGTTTTCTACTAAGATTTTTAAGCACCTCTACTAGGGGCCAGAAACTAAGCTAGGTGTTTCATATATTCTATATCTTGTGTATCCCTACAATAGCCCCATAAAAGAAGAGATGATTCCCATTCTAAAGATGGGAAGAGAGAGGCTCTAACAATTCAGCTGAATTGCCCAAAAACAAAAACTTGAAAAGTTGTAATTATTATCTACAACTCAAATCACACACTGAGACACGTTCTCTCCACTATCCCACACTAAAAAGAGAAAATGCCAAAACTGTGCAAGTCGATATTGCCCAATTTTATTATTCAGTTTAGTAATTTATGACAAAATTAATTTCTAAAAGGCATTGGCTTGAATCAAAGTTTCTTGTTTGGTTACATCTACATAAAAAAAGGGTTGCTTCAAAAGTCTCATTCTATCGCCCACCAAGTAAGATTTTTTAGTAACATTTTAAAGCTACTTTAAGGCACACTGGTTTTCAGAACAAACTGTTTTCAACTCATATTCAGCTTGACCTGGAAAGCACCTGTTGGGAGGGTTTTGTGACATTCATTATTTAATAACCATGGTTGACTCAACATTTAATATAAGGGCCATTGCTGAGTATCCACGTGGGACTTTTCTGTGACAGGGGTTATCTGAGATGAATGCTAAATTCCATCCAGTACAACTTATACCTACTTCACAACAAATTTCTAGCCATATCTTTCCCTCTCACCAGAATGTACACGAAGAATAAAGTGAGCTTAAGGAAAGCATAATTAACTAAAAACTGTACCCGAAAGAAAAGTTACATGGTACATGGTAAGGTTAAGTATAAATAAACTTACTGAATTTTCCAGGCAGTGGCTTCCTTCCCTCCTTTATCACGAATGGTGAACTGAAATGGTAGGGCCACACTTTTGGGGATCACCAGATTACTATCTTCCTATAGTGAATGAACTGTTCTTCACCAAGAATTTTTTTGAGAAATGTTTTAATGTGAATTGTGTGACATAGAACAAGGCTAGTTGTCCAGTGCTCAATAGGTTAAATAGCCTCATTATTTATTTCCACATTGACAAGTTCTAGGTAGAGCTGAAATTAAGGACAGCTACCTTGAGCTCATTTTGCCATGTGGGAACAAAAAGTGCTTCTTTGGCTCATGTGCAGAGATTTGGAGTAGAGAAGATGGTGAATTTGTGTGTATTTACAGAATAAATAGAATACATGTGAGATTCTTCAAAGTTTTTCTTGCCTGGCCGGCATGGCTCAGTGGTTGAGTGTCGACCTATGAACCAGGAGGTCACGGTTTGATTCTGGGTCAGGGCACATGCCCCAGGTAGGGTCTCAATCCCCAGTAAGGGGTGTGCAGGAGGCAGCCGATCAGTGATTCTCATCATTTATGTTTCTATCTCCCTCTTTTTCTCTGAAATCAATAAAAATATATATTTTAAAAAAGTTTTTTTATCATACTTTACTGCCACTTCATGGTTAATTCGTAAGCAGGCATAATCAAGTCTTCATGTGCAGAAACTGCAGGTATCTGAAGGCCAGGACTTCAGTTTGGCCACCATCCTAAGATTGCTCGGCTCCTTTGATGCTGTTCTATATAAGGTACTTTGCCACCTGCCTCATCTCTGAATGCAGTTCTGTACTTCTCACATAGGAGGGACAGGTACTGTGTTAACCGCACCATACCAACAATCAGGGCGCCACCCAGCAGAGTCAGTGAAGGCCAAAGTAAACAGTGGAAAATAACCATTTGGTCATACTTTTTTATGAGAATGACATCTTCAGGTTGGCTGTCTGGACTGTAGAAACATGAAAAGGGAGTCCCGTTTATGTGATCGAAGAATTCCTTTATGTCCAGAGCCCTGTTGAGCAAGTCATTCCTGTCTCGGTGGCACTTAGGTGTGTAAAAGCACTAGGAATGTGGAGGAGGAAGAAAGATGAGGACACTCTTACCAATATCAAGCACTTAACAGTATTAATGCTGAAATAGCTTCAAAATGAAGCTATTAGGGAGTTTCCATCTCAAGGTGATGAAACCTACTACATAGCTCAGGGGGAAGGATTGGCAGATGGGCACCGAATGAAATGGCCATTTCCAGGCATTAAGCAGGGCCATGGGGAAGTATTCTTAGAGTCAAGACACTGCAGAAAAGAAGAGAAACCAAGATGGAGGCATAGGTAAACACCGGAAATTGCTGCCTCGCACAACCACTTCAAAAATACAACTAAAAGACAAAACAGACATCATCCAGAACCACAGGAAGGCTGGCTGAGTGGAAATTCTACAACTAGAAGGAAAGAGAAAAGCACACTGAGATTCAGAGGAGGTGCGGAAGTAAAGGGCAGAGGTACGGAGGCGCACGTGGAGAGGGCTGGCAACTGAGGACACGGTTGTCTTTTTCAATCAGGAGGGAGTCTCAAGCTCCTGACTGCTCTGAACTCCAGTTCCAAGCGAGTCTCTGGGGACCCAGACACATACAGGGAGAAACTGGACTGTTTGGTATCGGTCGGAACTCTAGGGAGGCTTTCTCTCAGAGGTGCTTGCAGGGATTACCAGGACACTGAGACACGGGGCCTCTTAGGGTAGGACTGAGGAGTAGCCATAGCTGTTTGCTCCACCCTATTGATTCCCTG